TTTTTATTTCTGTGTCGAAAATACTTCCATAGGTAAAGTTTTTAAACGAGTAGAAAAGTGAGCCATGGACAGGCTTCCCACCACTAAGAGAAATGGTCGCTTCTTTCACGGAGAAGAGGAGCTGCGCCTGCCCGCGCTTTCCCTCCGGGCCCCTGCAGTCACTCGGGTGCGTGAACAGTGTCAGTCATGAAGCGTGAGCGCAGGAGGGTCGCCTTTGTAGCATTGAACTGACTTCTGTCTCAGAAGGGCACAAGCTAAGAATGTTTTATGTTCATTCATTTCATATGAAAAGAAAGACCGAAAGGTTTATTTTAAACTAAAAAGTTATGACGTGACCCAGATGCCCCAGTGGTCTGTCTACTTTCTTGGTCCTGGTCACCTCGGGAGCCCTCCACAAAGGTGGCTGAGTTACATGAAATGTCAGCGTGTCCTTGCACTCAGCGGCCACCGGGAGAGGTGAGTGCACTCCGAGGGGACACTGGCAGGACCCCAAGCTACCTGGCTGTTCCTGGCCACTGACAGGAATGCAGTCACAGCTGCGCAGGGGGATGTCACCTGCCTGCCCCGGAAGGGACCCCAGAACGTCTGCCTCCACCAGGTCAGGTGGCTGGAAAGCCCAGTGGCAACCGCACTATCTGTTACCATGATTTTTCCTACTTCTCTCTTCTTTTAGTCACTTGATGTTTATATCAGGCCATTTTTCCTCACTCATTTAAGAGAGTAGCTCGTTTAATTATCTAAATGACCATTAAATGTAAGTGGTTCTGTCCCTCACATCCAAAGGAGAAGGGAAGAGAGGACACAAAGGGGCAGCCCGATCCTCAAGCAGTTTCCTAGTGTTTGTTTCCTAATTTTCTCATCATCTTCTGTTTTACTCGTCTACTTTATTTTTGGCAGCTTTTAAAAAAAGATTTTATTTATTTGTTTCTAGAAAGAGGGGAAGGGAGAGAAAAAGAGAGGGAGAGAAACATTAATGTGTGGTTACCTCTTGCATACCCTCAACTGGGGACCCAGCCCACAACCCAGGCACACGCCATGACTGAGAATCAAACCGGCAACCCTTTGGTTCTCAGGCCGGCACTCAATCCACTGAGCCACACGCGCCAAGGCCTTTTTTTTTTTTTAGAGAGTGAGGGAAACATCGAGTTGTTGTTTCACTTACTTATGCATTCGTTGGTTGATTCTCGTATGTGCCCTGACTGAGGATCAAACCCCACAACCTTGGCATATCGGGATAACACTCCAACCAACTGAGCTACCTGGCCAGGGATGACTCATCTTCTTTACAATTTATGGAGGGCCTTATGTTTCAAGCAATGCATGTACACATGATCTTAGCCAGGCCGAGAAGCAATGGCTAATAAAGGCTTTAATTTTTTATCATCTTATCAAAAATAAAACTTTTTTATTTAAACTGTATCATAACATAGTTAACCATTATGGTCTTGTTGGTTCTGAAATTTTTGAAATGAGGTGATATATATGAGCAGTGTTTACTCACCTATCAGAGGAGAGAAGAAATGTATAGAAGATACTCCACCTCCCACCATGAACTGTAGGAACAAAATAGATGTGAGTGAAAGTGCTTATTTATTTTCTGAACCAAAATAAAACTGGATGATTTATTCAGTAGGGGAAAGAAACAGATTTACGTAGAAGTCAGAAAAAAAGTCACTTCACAAACACAACAAAATTAACTACAACAATATATTGTTTAAGTTGACATTATGGTTTTATATGAAAAAACAGAATTTTTAATATTTTTTATACTTGTGCCCAAAATATTCTGCTTTTACTTCTAATGACTACTTTTAAGTCTCTGAATATTTTACTTTTTGTTTTTCAATTATAGTCATCATACAGTATTATATTAGTTTCAGGTTAAAACAGTGATTAGACATTTACTTGTATGTCTAATATATGTATGTTTTACAAAGACTATTCACAAAACTCATCGTTTTTCCAAAGTAAGTGTAACCTGAAATCAGTCAAGACTTGGAAGATTCATTGTAGTTAAAATGAGGGTCATAAAGAGCTAGAGCCTGTGGTTTCGGCCTTTGTAAAGAATCCATTAATGCAGCCTGACAAGCCAGCACAATTTAATGGCTCCCTCGTCATTGTAAGCAGGAGGCTACACAAATAAAGTCGGCATAGATCAGCGCTGACCCAGGCGCGGGCCAGAGGTCAACTCCCAAGGGCAGTCCGAATTCTTACAGTGCTGCCCTGACTCTCGCCTGGAGGCTGCGGTCCTTTGATACCAGTTTTTCACTGGGAGAGAACTTGATGCGAATGTATCAGGTCTTGTTAACATAATTCCATATTGTGTCTGCTTAGCGGAAGTTCCGTGTGTTTTATTTTAAAAGCAGAGCTACTGCAGGCAGCTTTGTCTGCAGGCCGGGGAGACCCCCAGCTCTACAGGCTGGGCTTTCTTGTCTGTTGTCCTTAATCCCCAGTAAGCCATCCTAGTTCTGGGAGGGGACTGTGTCTTTGGAAAGGAACCTGGGAATTTTCTGGTCAAACTCGTTTTCCCCCCCATAAGTTGAAAACAGAGGAAAGACATTTCATACTTATGGGCATTTAATGTTTTTGCTATTTTTAGCTTTCAATTCTGGGACAGAATCGGGCTGACCAGATGATGCGGGTTCCGAGTCGCTGCAGCCAGTAGGTCAGCTTCAGGAGCCACACGAGTCATACCCCACCTTCGTCCCTCTTGGCCTTGCATCGGGTGAACGTTCATTTTCGTGTCTGTAGAGATAGTGTGTGACTAAGCAGACGGTGCAGTTGTGTTCTCCACAATAGAAGCTTCCTTTGCAGCTGTGTTCACATGAGCCCAAACACACTGCCTGGGGGGTTCTTCCTGGGTTTCCTCACCTCGCGTGGATTTGGACTGAACCTGCCTCACACTGAATTCCACCTGGGAGTTGCCGCCTCAGAAAACGGCAGCCATAAAGCCAGGGTCACGCTCTGGCAGGTTAATTTACAGGCGGGGGCAGTGGCTGAATGTGATCGTTCCTTTCTTTCTCTTAAGCTGTAAAATGCTGGTTCATTTTTCCAAATCCATAGCCCCACACAGATTATAGAGGCATCTTAAAGTGCCCGTGTCAGAATGCAGTCAGACAGGAAAACTGCTGCAGAGTACCAGGTGTGAGTTGTACCCAGGCAACCGGGGTCTCCCCAGACTTGTGCCCCCACTGTAGTGACCAGAGAAAAAATGTTGTCTCCCTGCCAGGCACAGAAGCTTCCGGAGGATCGGTAGCCATCATGGACCTACAATTTTAAAATACAGGAAGTCCCCACCTACAAGCAGGTTGTGCACTGAAACTTTATTTGGAGTTAATTGCTTGAAACCCAAAGCAGGTGTTCCCCAAAATGTATGGTAGACGGTGCCTGCATTCCAGGCAGGTCCCAGACGCCTTTTTAGCTCGTAATATATCTAAAGAACAGCCCTGTGCAGTTAGCAAGACAGGAGCTAGCCACCATATATCACAGTGTTTTATGCGTCCGGCACGTGGAGAGCAGGCCCCGCTGCTCTCCTCCCTTAACATTCTCTGGCCCAGGTGGTTACTGGGGCTTGCAGGTGCACAGGCCCCTCTGCCACCCAGCTTCCTTCCCTGGTGCTGACAGGAATGGGGAGCTGGCAGGAGGGGGCGTCGGAGGCACCCTGGGCCCCACTCACTGAGCCTGCGTTTCTCATGCTGGAACGAGCCCACAGATCACATACAGACTTGCTGAAGTTGCAGGTTATGATTCAGCAGCCCTAGGAGGGCTCTGAGATTTGAATTTCCAACAGCTCCCAGTGATGCCATCGATACTGGTCCACAGACCCCGGTCTGAGTTGCAAGAGTCTGTCAACATCTTGAGATGGGGGAGGATGGCTGGGAGAGAAATCCAAGCCACTACCAGAAGGAAGTGAGAGGCTGGGTTCTGTCACAGAGGCCTCATTTGCATGTGAAAGCGCAGCAGCAAATACCAAAGTCCATAGCGAGTGGATCATCCGGGATCCTAACCTTCTAGACCCTGGACCAGCATCTTGGTGTGAGAAGCACCAGGGGGAAATCTGGAATCTTCCCGGCACACCCAGGGCTTCTGGTGCAGGTGATCACAGTGCAGCAAAGCAGTGAGGAGCATGGGCCTGGTTTACTCCTGTTTCCACCGCTGACTAGCTGTGTCTTCAAGCACATGGCTTTGTGCCTAAATGTCCATTGTCCTCATCATTAAAATGGGGCTAAAATTCATCCCCACCTCTTGGCGGGGGGAGGGCTTAAGTTACCTGTGTAGGACTCATAGAGTGCCCCAGCGGTGATGGTCGCTACATGAGTCATTTGAGAACATGGCATGGAGTCAGATTTCCAGTTTTACTTCTTACTGCCTGTGTGGCCTCCAGCAAGTGACTTAACCTCTCTAAACCTCTGTTTCCTTCCACGTCGCGTGGGCATCATAAAGGTTTCTGTCCCATGTGCGTTGGGAGTGTAAACCAAGTAACCCACTCAGCACAGCACCTCGTGCATTCGCCATGCACTTTGGTTCTTGTTACCGAGGCCGGCCAGAGTGACCGCTCTCCAGAAAACTGGGGCTCATAAACTGTGCTCCAAGAGTTGTGGGTTTTACAGAAATGGGTCTGGGGCATCGTCACTGGGGGTGAGGAGGAGGCTGTTGCCCACTCCACTGGCCCCTTCAACCGGAGGGGTTCATCTCTGCTGGGGTTCGGCGTGAAGATCGGATTTAGAAAACCAGGTCTGACATTACTCTCGGAGCTGCAGTGCACCCAGGGTCTATGGGGGAAGTAAATGGTCTCAATCCTCAGAAAGTTGACATTTGCCTGTTTTTATTTCCTTGAAGACTGAAATAGCAGATGTCGAATTTAAAGAGAGGATGGGCGAATGGTTGACCTGAGGGGTTTATAAAGCGTGGGATCGAGTAGCCAGTTCACGTCGGCAGAGCGCAGTGGTCATGCGGCAGCGGCTGCAGACCCGCAGTAACTCCCGTGTTCTCTCCACCAGATGAGCACCATGCCTGGACTGCCCACGCGGCCCTGCTTTTACGACATCGACCTCGACACGGAGACGGAGCAAGTGAGGGGCTTGTTCTGAATCAGCGAGGCTTTCACGGGCCCGAGTCAGGTAGGCTGTTGTGCTTTTTTTCTTTTTTTTTCTTCCTTTCTTTTTCCAAATCTATTTTAGGGTTTGTTTCCCCCCTAACATTGAGGACAAAAATGGTCTGAAAGTACTTCCTTGACTGGGTTACTGTGGATCCCTGCCTGCTAACAGCCCCGGACTTGAGGGTGGCTGCAGAGTGTGGACAAGCAGCTAGACAGTCGGGACACAGGCGCTGGGTGCAAGCCAGACCGTGCCATCCGTGACTGTAGATTTGAGTAAGGCCTCTCCGTTCCTAACAGCGGCACCCTGTCAACTCGTTGTTCTTATTCCAGGATGAAAACTACTATCTGTGAGCACTTTAAAGGGCTAGGCATACCACATGTTTCTTGGTTACAGAGCTGAGTTACGGGGTAGAAGGCTCTCAGCGTATTCACTTTCTAGGGCTGCTGTAGCAGTATCGCAGCTGCGTGGCTTAAACCCCCAGAAATGTATTCTCCCTTCGTTCTGGGGGTCAGAAGTCCCAAGTCAAGGTGTCAGCTGGGCCCTGTGCCTTCTGAGACGCTGGTGGGACCCCTCCTGGCCTCTGCCCAGCTTCTGGTGTCTGCCACCAACCCCTGACGTTCCTCAGTTGACAGCTGCGTGGCTCCAGTCTCTGCTTCCATGGCTGCACAGCCTTCTCTCTGGTCATCTGTCCGCACGTGGCGGTCTCGTCCTGTAAGGACACCAGTCACATTAATTAGGGTCCCCATGTTGACCTCATCTTAATTACCTCTGCAAAGACCCTGTTCCCAGATAGTGACTGTCATAGGTACTAGGGGTCAGGACTTCAGTATATCTTTTGCAGGACACCATTCAACCCCTAACTTTCACTTGACTGTAGCTCAACAGGTGTATTACGCTCTTGTGCCACCGGGCAGATGCGTACAGATGGGACAGGTCATTCGGAGGGCCCTGTGAGTCACAGGCAGGTCGAGGCAGCAGAAATTAGACACCTCGATGGCTCACTGTCCGCAGGTCCAAAGGACTGGGCTTAACGTGGGGCTGGTGCAGGGAGCCCGCAGTGGGGGGGGGGCCCTCCGTCTCATTCTTGTCTCCCCCTCAGTCCTGCAGCCGCACCTGCTAGCTTCTTTCCTCACTTCCCATCATGAAGACAAATGACCGCCCTCCTAACCCCCTCCCTGGAAAAGGCGGACGTTTCAAAGGCGCAGAGCTGTGCTTCTCTATCCCATACATCAAACATGTCCTCACCGCATTCTCAAGATACACCCTCCCCCAAGCACCCCCACTTCCTGCTCCCCACTCACGCCTGCTCCCGTTCCTTAGCCCTGCACTCCCCCAAGCTGCACACAGGCCCTCACTTCCACCTGTGTCGCTGCCAGCTGCCAGCAGCCCGCGTGGGGAGACTTTGCTTTGTGAGGCTTTGCTCCCAGGGCACTGACGACCTGGGCCCTGATGAGAAAGGTGGGGGGCCCTCGTGTGAAATGACGGTCGTGCAGGTATGGAATCGCTTGGTTTGGGTCGTGTTGGGTGTTTCGTGCTGTCTGTATGGTTCGTTGTGGGTTTTTCTGGGAAGGTTTTTGTTTGGTTGGTTGGTTGGTTTTTTTGGCTGAGGGGTAGGAGTTGTGTTTAGTTTTAACCACAACCACATTTCGTATCTTTGTCATTTCTGAAAAAGAACACTCCAGAAAAATGAACTTGAGGAGACTTTTTTCTCTTTCTAACAAAAAGTCCTGTAAAGCCGAGTTGTGGTGGCAGTGTGACTTCGGTCATTTGGTTTGACCGCGTGGGTGTTGGTGGGGAGGACGCCGTGCCTTCCCCTGCTGGCCTTGCGATCGGACAGCGTCGCTTCTCGGGAACTGGAAATTGCCCCGTCCTGACCGAGCTCCCTGGTCGAGTCAGGACGCCACTGCGCTGCCTTTCTGCCATTTGCCATTTTCTCCGAAACAAGTGTGAACTCTCCTTTCATCTCCCTCTCAGGGTCTAGTGGTTCGGCCATTTGGTCCATTTCCATTTTCTCTCCAGGTGGGTCGCGTAAACCCAGTTATACCTTCATTATTGCGTTTCAGGCTCGGGCTGTGCCGGGGACACGCCCCTGGCTTCACTCCCATGTGCACATCGGTCCCCAGGTTTGTTCCCCGACAAGCATTCTCTGGGCCGGGGGCAGGGCTCTGGCCTGCGGCCGTCACCTCCAGTGTGCCGGGCACTGCACAGCACTGTGCACGGTGGCCACAGCACTCACAGTGGCAGGTGCTGTCTCGAGAGGTTAGGTCCTTGCTCTGTGGCCACTGAGGGGGGCCCGATGAGGGGATGAGGGGTGGCCCGATCCACGGGGCTGCGGAGCTGCCTTCCACGGCTTAGCCTGTCTCTCGTCACTTTGCATCCCCTGTCACGTGTCATGCTGGCCCCACCCAGTGGGGTGGGTAGTATTATTTCAGAGCCGTGAGGACTCTGGACAGAGGGGCCGACAACTTGCTCAAGTTGCACAGCTAGTAAGTGCAAGAGCCAAGACTCAGCCCAGGTCTGCTTACACTCAGTCTCACCCCACCCTTTAAGCCCCAAACCAAAGGCCAGCCTTTTCGTTTCCATCATGGGGTAAAGGAACTTCAGCCCTTCCTGGAAGATGATAACCAGCTATTTGAACAGATCTGTAATTTGGGAATAACCAGGTGATTTTTTTTTTTACAACAAAAGATAATTATTTGGGTATTAAAAGCTATGACTTTGTCACAATCCTTTGTAGTCAAAGTACAATAGGGCCTCTCTTACTTAACTCTGTCATTGCATGGCACTTCCCACTCACTTGTCCAAGGTTTTCTTCTTCTTTGTGAGCTGCCAAACCCTGGTCTAGGCGTGGTGGACAGCGGTTCAGTATCCATCGCTTGACCTTGCTGGAACAACTGAAAGGGGATCAGTGTCGTAAGATAAAACCACCGTATACAAAGCAAACATTCCTTCTCAGGGACTCCTCGATACCATGGTCCCGCAGCATCCTTTGTGTCCTGTGGCCTCTCCCATACAGCCGCCAGGGACCCCATCCACCAGCGGTCAAAGGTCTGTGGCTATTAAAAATGCATAGGATAAAAATGTTCAAGCTTGGATGACAGGCAATCTGGACAAATTTGGGCATCGGAAGAGGAAGTGTCCGGTCAGGTGCCTCACTCACACACAGAGTCATCAGAGTCCCAAGAGTTCTGTACACTCAGCGGGACACGTCACAGGCATGTCCCACGTGGAAGACTGCACTGGGTCAGGGATGACTTCCTTTCCTTCCTGCTTACCTCACCCTCTAGGAAATTGTGTGAGACTTAGTATGAACAGGAGATGCCAGGAAATCCCCAGAACTCGAGCCCTTGCTCCTTCTTTCCAAGGCTTCCCTGTAGTGTATTCACTATTGTTGCAATCGGGGCATGATTCATTCTTTTGGATGTCACCAGATAGAACTAATTAAAATCAGGTGTTTGTCCCAGTGAAACTGATCCTGCAACTGTACTGCAGGCCTTTGTCTGAGGATGATTGGATTGAGGGAGGGTGACTCTTTCCCCGCTGTGGGTCTCCTTCTGCACCTTCATCATGTTTCGGAGCCTTGGCAGCATTCGGACGAACACAGAGAACTCTGGCGGAGTTCCTGAGGCGTTCGGATACTCGACTTCGTCCTGAGGTGCAGAGTCAAGTTCAGTACAGAATCTGGTTGACTCTGGTCCTGCTATAAATGTTGGTTACTTACCTGGGAATCATTTTTCTTGAACTGCACATGAGAAAACAAGTATAATACGAGCTCATTTTTCCCTAAACCTCCTTTAGTGCAGAAGTTTTCCATGATATTTCATAGTCATCCACTGATCTGCAGTACACTGTTTGGCCACAGCCCTCTGGGAACAGGGTCTTTTATCCCCGACTTGCAAACCACAGGGTTCCGGGGTTCCATGGGGGAACATCTGGGCTCTGTGGTTTTGGTCTTGAAACTATCTGTTCAAGAAGCAGTTTAAAAATCGGTCCACATCATGGCGCTGCCAGGCCCGGGTCCCCAGTTCACTGCCACGGCGTCCTCACGGGGGAGCATGTCCCTCTTCTTTCCCCATTTCCAGGCAGAGCCCAAAGCCCAAGTGACTTAAATAAATGATAGTGACAACTAAGTCTAACCATGACACCTTTAACATCTCACTGACATCTAAAAAGATAGTAATAAGTGAATCTTTCTTAACTGAAATAGAATGTTTTAAAGCTTAGCAGTTGTAAAACTATTCATTTTCTTTCAAAGATAGTTTTTCTGGACACTTTTTTTTAGGAGTTGGGGAGAAACTAGTTGTCTCTCTCTTTTTTTTTTTTTTTTTTTTTAGAAAACATAAGGCAAGGGAAATAATATTTCAGAAAACTCAGGAAAGATAGAATTTTTCTGATAAGTAAATCTGTACATCAAAAATAGAAGAAATTATCAGCAAAAACATCAGAAAAGGCTCCATTAAGGCATTAGTTATAATCTGCTAGTAGATTAAGAAAACCAGAACCTCTACAGTACAGGGGAAGTTATAACTAAATGCTGTGAACTTGAAATTCTTCCCCTGCAAAAGACATTCTACCCAAATTAAAACTGATGAAAAAGTGCCCAGTGCCTACCAGGCAATTTCACTTCTAATAAGAGAAGTTCATAGACTAAACTCTCCTCTATTCAAATCAGATCTCAGAAGAACCTCATGATATAAATGACTCTAAGTTATTCACTTTTGCCCTGGCCAGTGTGGCTCAGTTGGTTGGAGTATCTTCCCGTAAACAGAAATGTCGTGGATTCGATTCCTGGTTGTGGGTCCCCAATTGGGGCACTTACAAGAGGCAAATGATGGTTGTTTTTCTCTCTCTCTCTCTCTCTCTCTCTCTCTCTCCCTTCCTCCCTCCTTTTTCCTCTCTCTAAAATCAATAAGCATGTCCTTGGGTGAGGATAAAAAAACTTTTAAATTAAATTATTTATGTTTCCATTTTTTAAAAAAATAGTCACCATCAATTTTACCAATCCTGTTGAGGTTAACTATTTGTTTTTATTTTAAAGTCACTTTAAAGTAGCATATTTAACTTCAACCTCTGTTAGTTGACAATGGGAACCAATAAACTATTATCCTTAGCAAAGAGAGGCCAAGAGCCAAGTGTTATTACTAATACTCTAAGGGTAATAAAATTAATGTTTCTCTGTTTAGTAGAGAGGAGAGAGAGTTAACCCTCCCGTCCCCTAAAGACAGACACCTTATGGCTGCAGTTACAAACTCGTGGGTAGCATAAAACACCAGACGTTTATTCCCTCACAGTTCTAGAGGCTCAAAGTCTGGAGTCGGAATTAGTATTCTGCACTCAGGTAGGGATGAAGCCACACCCCCTCCAACTCGCTAGAATCCACCCTTGCCTTCTCCAACTTCTGGTGGCCGCAGGGACTCCCCTGAGCTGTGGCCACGCTCCTCCAACCTCTACCTCTGATCAGTCACTTTGCCTCTTCCTCTTCCATGCGTCTGGACACTTTTAGATTTCTTATTATTCCCATACCAAGGTAAAGTGTTTTATATATTCCATCTTCCAAAATATTTGCCCATTGAATAAACTTCTCAAAATGTTTTCTTCCACAGAATAAACAATATACTGATTCATTTTCACATTCTCACCTTGGCTATTACATTCCTGAGTTGTTGTTTTTTTTAATCTATAATCAGACTATATACTCCTGCCCAACCCTTTGAGTCCTCTTAAAATATGAACCCACAGACTCGGGGCCCCTTTAAACACAACACCAGGGGCTACAGAGGTTGTTACGTGGCTGATCACCTGCTCTCAGGTACACACACCCACCTCCGGGGATGGTAGGCCTTGTTGTGCCTCAGGTGATCTCCATCCGCGGAGCCCACTCTCCATTTTTTTTAAGCCCCCACCTTCTCTATTCCCTCTGCAAGAGTCCCTGAGCCTTACCAAGGTGAGGCTGGTCTTGTCCCTGAGCGGAGGGGTAGGTCTGCACTAGACACACTTTCTGCCCAACATCTACAGTATTCTCTTTCCGTTCGTGTATATTATGCCCCTGATTAGGATCAGACATTAGGGGAGCGGCTGCAGTCCCTCCTCTTCTGTCTTCATGACCTGCTTGTGTTCTGAAACGAATCAAGCCCCCCTCTGGCCCCAGGCCCCTCCCCCATCTGTGGGAGGCCGACTCGCTGTGTCCCAGCCGAGCTTGAACTCTTGGTCCACTAGATAAATTTCTTCTGGAGTGGTGAATACATTTTATTTTTCCTGAAACTTGGGTGTTTTGTTTGTTCTATTTTAAATATAGTGCAATCACTTCTCTTTCTAAAAGATGACTGGACTCAACAGAGGCAGAAAGCCTTAATAGCCTTTGAGAGAATGCCTAAGTGCTCACTTGGTCTACTCACTTCCATCTTTATCCTAAATGACTTTTCAGAGCCTGTGTCCTGTGCCTACTGTAAGAGAGACACTGAAATCAAAGGCTGCAGATCTGTCATCTAAAATCCTGAACCTGCTCACTCCACAGGATCCTGGACACCAGGGGTCCCAGGTTTAGAAGTCGTGGCGATTCTGCAACAGTTCCCAAGTAAATCTTTTAGGACATTGAGACTGCTTGGTGGCCGTGGTGCAGAATGAGATTCTCCACTGCTCATAAGTAAAATCACTGCAAACAACAGTCTCAGCCCAGTCCTAGAAATAGAACTGCTTAATCTGCCCTTGAATTTTCTTTTGGTCTCCAACTTTAGAGCTGTCAAAGATTAATACCAGGGGGGAAAGCTGTTCTTAAACCACTGTCACATTTTTTTTTCTGTTTTTCAGACTCCTGAAACTCAAACTACCCCTTGCCTTTTGGCCTCAGTTGGAGAAGAAAGTGAATTTGAAATACACCCGTTACGCAATGCTGGAGAAATGATGGAATAGGCCAAAGATTTCTTCCTTCAGGACAGATTCTGTTTGCAGCCGAGCATAGTGTTCAGTCAACGGACCTCCACCAAGTTTGAAAGAAACTAATTTATTTTCAGTTTCTGCAGAGTTTACATTATTCCCCACTGCTTACACTTAAGAGTGTTTATTGTATGGGGACCATGCAATTAAAAGCGTTTGAACCGAAAGGTAACGTTTCCTCACCCTGGAGTTTTCTGTTTTGTCTTTGAACTGAAAACATGTATATGTATTGAGAAAACCAAGCAGCAAGTTTTCAGTGCCCGCAAAAACCCCTCTCTCCAGAGGTTACTAACTGTTCGTGTTGGGGTTGTTACCTGACCCCAGTTTCCTGGAAAACTGTGACTGTAACCAGAGCTTTATAAACATAACAAGGAAAAAAAATAACACACACACACACACAGAGAAATAGCTGGTCAATTGTGAAATCTTCCGACTATTAGAGAGTTGTCATATCCTTTGGAACAAAGTGCATTTCATATCCAGGGCTGTTTTTCAGTGCCAGTGAAAGTCCCATCACGTACCCCAGAACTGAAGGATGTATGCTAGTTTCTTCCACCGAGAAATGCATCACAACAGCCCTTAGAGCGCCTCCTAAACTCAGGTGCAGGCAAATGTTCCTCCTTTTGTCCGCCCCTTACTTTGCAGTCAAGCACGGGCTGTGGCCTTTTCCCCGCTCCCGGGCGTTTCTGACCCTTCTTTGTTGCCATTTGTTCCTACGATAATATAAAATTATATAAAAGTTAAGACAAAACCAAGGATTCAGGAGCAAACAGGCCGTGATTGTCCTCTGAGCAGTGGAAGTACAGCAGTCACCATAAATATCTGTGAGCCCCCGGGCACATCCTGCAGAAGCCCTCGCCCGGCTCCTTCCTGGGTGCTCTTGCCCTGCACCCTGCAGTGACCTGCCTGCTAGTGGCTCTGCCCATGATGTGTCTTTATGCACAATTTAATTTGCTCCAAACCACTGCATGCTAACTGAAAAGCCTTCCCACACAAAGACTGTCCCGCAAATAATTTTGCTGGGTGTTTCTGCAGTGGACCCCGCCCCATTCCTGCCCTTTCTTTGGGAGTACGCCTCTCCAGATATACAGCAAACCAGTATTTTTTGTATATAATTCTGTTGGAGGATTATAAGGTTCACGGGAAGTGTGTACTCTTTATAATGCACTCAGCAAGCAGTCTTTCTCGTGAATAGATAGTTTTTAAGCAGTTGCCTTCTGCTATTTGAGTTTTTATTATTTTTCAGTACCACTTTCAATCTTTGAAGTGTTTAACAGTAAAGAAAAGATTTTAGGAATCTATATTCCAAGGGACTTCTTTCACCTGGCAACTCTCCAATTCACCAAAAAGAGAAGAATGTAAAAGCATCCCAAACTCAGGGGTGGGAGAGTTTCCGACACTCACAATGGAGGTGTTGCTCGGAGCTCAAACCACTTTCCCATTATGGCGGTTCACCTTCTCTCCTCTAAACATTGTCACTGATGTTTGGCTGCTTTTCTCTTCTTCGCTCACAAGAATACACTGCTGCTGACTGGTAAGCAGTCTCCCTGAGCAAGGAAAGTCTTTGGCAGGTTAGTTAATGGGCTTACCAACTCATGATAACTTGCATTCATAGACCGGTGCTACTTTAAGGAAGAAGAGCTACTTACCTACTCTCTTCTGAGGCCAAGGCATGACAAAAAAAATTGCATGGCCTTTGGCCTGGTGGGTTTAAGTTAGAAATCTTTTCAGGATGGGCACGTCCTGATTCCTCTCTGGTTCTACAACTGAAAAGGTAAGAAAGTGCCAACAGACCAGAATAGCGAGGGCCCCAGTGACCCGCCGTGGCTCCCAGAGGTGTGGTCCTGTCCCCCTCTGCTCGCTGGCCAGTCACAGCAGCACCTGCCCAGGCTGACACCCAGACCTGGAGAGTCCTGAGAAAGCTCCAAAAGGAACGCACTGGAGGGACTCACTGATGACGTAGGGACTCGGGGAGGACACAGCAAGGCACTTAGCCAGTCCATTCATTAATATTCTTTCTGATCTATTGCCACTTCCAGGGTTATTCTGTTTAACTAGAATGTACTGACTATTAAAGCAATCTGTGAGTATTCTTCACAGTAGCTATTTGGAGAGAATCGTTCTGACTTTAGCCAGGGTTTGGTCTTTATCATAATTTATACTTGTCCATACATATGAAGCTTACCTTTTTTATTCCAGAAAAATCCACATATACATAATTTGTCCATGGCTTTTGCATAGTGTGTACATACAAAGGACTAAAAATTAAGTGCATTTTTGTGACGTTTGTTAAAAAACCCTGTAGTCCAGATGCCTGAGAAGAGCAGACCATTGTGGCAGGGCAGCTGGGCACTAGTTGGGCCGACATATGCTTCCTCAAACTGTGCTGCAGCCGTAGACAGACCCCAAAAAGCTGTTATAGCTGCACTTCACACAAGGGAGGATGGACTAGCTTTTAGGAGCCTGTGAACTTGGGTAAGAAAAAGAATTACCGTATTTTGCCCTGTACACCTTTTCACCCAAATTTTTGAGGGAAAAAGAAGGATGCACATTATACATGGGCATAATGATTACTTACTACGAGTGTAATGGGCATCATAATCCCATGTATAATGCACACAGAAATGTGGGGGTGCATTATACACCGCCAAATACTTGGTTTTCACTGACTTCTAACTGCAGTGTAGCATTTCCTTCGATCATGAGTGCCGGCGACAAGCCACAGCAGTGTTAACAGTGCCTATGTCTGTCCCCAGTAGGTAGAAATCACTTCTGGTTTGATAGTACATCACGGGTTCTGTGGATACTCATAGTAGCATCTATGCTCATCACTACCTCAATTGTGATTGTTATTAGATCTACCACTATCCTTGTTATTTCATGTGTGAAGAGCCCCACGTATGGCTATAGACAAATTTGATTATATTTTAGTAATCCCATTTCACTATCCTTGGTTTCCTTTATAATCATAAACAGGCTATTCTTAGAAGAGGTACACAGACTCCATCAGACTGTTAAAGGGGTTCATGGCACAGAAAAAGGGGAGGGCCCAGCCTAAGCCCTGGCTTAGGGTAAGACAGCTTCCAGGATAGGAAGCTAGTAGTGGGTTAACAAGTAATTTCTGCAGGTCCCTGGGAGTAGCCCCAGCAGCCCCTGTCCTGGGAGCCTCCCGAGACTCAGACAATACAGAAACTCTGCAGACTGTAGAGTGCCGTAGCAATGGACAGCTTGGGTAGCAACCGCACATGCTGGACCAGCCCTCGAGCTCCTATCCCTGCCCTGCTCTGGGGCCAGGCTCCCCCACACAGCTGTGGGCGCTGCCCCAGCAACCATATCCCCACCTGACCTGGTCCTCCCACAGCCCACATGGGGGTGGGAGGGTGGGGGTGCTCAGCTTGCATCCTAGTTATGGGGACCACGGGCTCAAGGTAACTAATAATGTTATTTTTATGAAATTAAAGACTTTGCTATAATCTACTGGTAAGATGTATTGTTGAAGAGCATCCTTTTTTAATAGAGTAATTTGTCCATTCATTTTACAAACACGTACTGGGCAAGCACCAAGAATGAAACAGAATGTTTCAAGAAGAAAAGGAAATCAACATAGAAGTCGCATGACTGAAGGAACATGTTGGGGTGTTGTCCCCAACCCACAGGACAGGAAGCCAGTAGTGGGTTAGCAAGTAATTTCGGAGTGAATTTCTCCATTCACCGAGCCTGTGTCCACCCACTTCCGACCAGCATCATTAAGTGGGGCAATCTTATTGATGACCCCGCCCTTTAACCTGTACGGTCTACACTAACCCTATAGTGCATGTCAGAATTGGATTGAATTGTAGGACACCCAGTTGGTGTTGGGGCCCACACAAATGGAGGGTTTCATGAGAAAATACTGAGATTCATAAATGCCAGACGTTTCAGAAAACGTGAGGCATATCTCACTGCCTACACCTTGTCCCCGATGGATTGCCCACGGACCCCGCCTCTCCCTTTGAGAACTACTCTGAAAGGGAGGCCTCCATTTTCAGGTTTAGCTATTGGGCAGTTAGAAGATTGAGTTTGGTTTCAATCCCTTATCCATTAAGAGGCCACACTTCTGCTAGAGCCCATGAGTTTCCTGAGAGCAAACCAGTGTCCACAGCCCTGGGCAGACACCACTGTCATTGGACATCAGAAAAAGCTAGTTAATAGTGTCCTTCCCTAAAATTCCAGTACCGCCCCCAACTTGGTACCTGTTTGTGGGATGTCACCTCGGAAGCGCCATGTTCTGAATATGCGTTAAAATAACCACGGAGCTCTGGCTGGTGTGACTCAGTGGAAATGCCAGCCCGCAAATCAAAAGGTCGCTGATTCGATCCCCAGTCAGGGCACATGTCTGGGTTTTGGATCAGGTCCCCACTTGAGAGGCAGCCAATCTATGTTCCTCTCCCTCTTGTTCTTCTCTTTCTCTTTCCCTTCTCCTCTCTCTAAAAATAAATAAAACCTTTTTAAAAAATAGAAATAACCATGGATTCAGGGGATTGTCCGAAGAACAGAACCATTCTCAGTGATGACTGCTGGGCCTTCCTTCTGGGCCAGTCGGACTCTCGGTCCTAGGACAGAAGGCGGCTGTCATGAACCAGAAAGGATGAGAGAAATGCTTCACAAAAACGGAGTAGGACTGTGTAGTCGAGCCTTCTACGTGAGACAAAAGAATGACGTTCCTCACTGTGCCACCCTCCTGTGATCGCAGCCTTATCAAGGTGAGTGTCTTCCTAGGTGATCCAAGCTCACCGGCCAATAGCAGGGGGCTGGCCCCGGGGGAGTGGCTTCTCACCCATCTGCCAGGGGAAGTCTGTGTTCACATTTTGAGTTAGTTTTATAAACTCACAGTCCCTGGTGAAGCTACCCCTCTCTTTCACACTCTACGTTTGTATTTCATTTTCCCCAAAGGCTTTAAAAATACCAGTCTTCAGACACTTTGTCAACTGTCTTTCATCCCACGATTAGAATGAGACTAAAGGCAGGCTTGTTCCACAACACAGCCCATGCCCCTCTGATTTGGCAGGCGGAGCTCAGAGAGCCGGGGCGGAGTCGCCCAGACTGAGTGTGATGCTGGCGTGTTTACGTAACAAATCAGCTGAACTTAAATATTTCTCCAGGCGTGTCAGGAAGGCAAGCGTTTGCCCGGCACACGACCGTG